CTAACCTTTGTTGTTTTCCAGATATCTAACAGCTGTTAACATAACTTAGAAAAACGACCCATAAACTTGATCCCAAATTATTGTGTTTCTTCATGTGTTGCTATGTTTCTTTCATTTCAACAGAGGTCCAGCTAATACATTTTCATGAATCAGAAGTGTCAAACTATTCAACCTTGCTGTTAAGTGAAGACAAAGATGTTCTATATGTAGGAGCCAGAGAAGTGATCTTTGCATTAAATGCAGTGAATATTGATGAAAAGCAGCATGAGGTATGCATTTTAATACATTATCCTCCATGTGAAAATCATACTCCAAGTTTTACTTAATTTCCTGATATCAGTAGCACCACACTTTAGGTGGTAGGTACCTAAAAGAGAAAGTACTGTGGGCTGCTCCTGTGTTATTTCTGGAAGATGCTATAGAGTAAAACATGCCATGAAATGAGAGGAAAAAATGAGAAGTTGGATATAAGCAAGTAATTAGAAGTCTCCCTAGGTATTTTCTTCTTGGGGATAGGATGCTAGACTGGAGGGACTTTGGGTATCATCTCTAATGGTGGTTCTAATACATATTTTTATTATCAGGAGTGGGACATCTCCTGTTAATCTGAATCAGAAGGTAATCTGAAACAGAAGCAAAATTGGGAGTTTGCTCAGGAGTGGCAAGCTGCAGACGTGCTTCAAATGAAATGAAGGCCCTGTCCTTTCGGTTTCAGCTTCTGTTTTGTGTCTCTAGGTGTGTCTGCACAGCAAGCGTTGGTGCAGACAGGTCTGATCCAGCTTGCTCAGAGAAGTACTCTGGATGTGCTGATGCTGGCTTCTCAGAGTAGATTAGCACATGCAGAAGTCTGCTAACATCGTATTGCTTCCAGTCCTTCCCAGGCTCCTGCTTCTCATCGCATCAGCAGCACAGGCTGACACTTAGAGGCACGGCATGGAGTCCCACCGAGGATATTTTGGAAGATGGTCATATGATTTTTTAATCTGAACAAAATGTTTATGGGTGGTGCTGGGCAATTTCACCAGCATATAAAACTTGTTTTATGAGTGCATGTAACTGTCAAAGCTGTACTTCTCCGTATAGTGTAAATTGTGGTCCAGTAAGTTTTATCTGATTCCCACCCCCAAGTGTTTTTTCATTCAAGTGTGAATGAAATTGGGAATTACTTAAAATTGAAAAGTAGGTCAAGGAGTTACAGTTGTGCTACATTGCATATGGTAATGGCAACTTAGTTAGCAATTTGAGGGACAACAACATGATGAACCCAAAAGACAATAGCAGTTGTTTAGCCCCTCTTAAGGCACATGCATTTGGAAGTGTCACCTCCCTGGGAAAGAATGGCTTTGAACCTTTGAAGGCTACTTGCAAAATGGCTTGCATTTGCTGCAGATAGTCTTAGGATTGCCTTTTTTTTGTGTTATTGCAAGATTTTCAGACCTTGCATTGAATTAAAGGGTTTTGTATGTGTCTTTTTGTTGCTTGTTTTTTCACTTAGTTACACTGGAAGGTCACCGAGGATAAAAGGACTAAATGTGCAGTCAAGGGCAAATCAGAACAGGTATGTACTTTTATTGAACTTTGAGAAAGATGTTACATATTTCACTTCAAGAGGAGTGATGTTAAAAGAAGAAAGGCTCCAACTATTTGAAATCAAAATTTTCAAATAAACACCTAAATTCTTTAATTAACTTGAGCTTTAGGAACTGCATCATGCTTAGTCGTCTTATTTTGTCGTTGTTTTTTAATTCTTAGTTCAATATTTCTTGCTGATGAACATAATTTGAATGTTTGAAAGTCTGAACACACCCTGGTGTGTGGTTAACATTACAAGTTTTTCCATTAAAACGATAAACCAGTATTACTTTCACTGAGGTAATTGATAGCAACAGTTGTGTTTTGTTATTGCAATAATTCCTCCCCAGCATTTGATTTTACAGAGTGACTGAAAATTTTGTTTGCTTTGCTTTAGGGCATAGGGTTTGTTTATTAGGCCAGTGCTGTTCCACCAGCGTTTCATTAACTACCTATATCCTTATCGTGGTACTTGGTGGATGTGCCCCTTGCGGTAGCACGTTGCTGGTGTGACTGCCTAAACAGCTCCGCAGCATCTGAGCAGCCCAATCTCCTGCCAGCTGGGCAGTGCAGGCAGCTCAGCCCCTGGGATCCCTTGGTGTTTTGGGGAACTGTGCACTCATGACTGCCGGTGTGCAGGCTGGCTTGCTCAATTTGTGGAGGGGGTTTGCTTGAGGTGGCTGACTCTATGGGGATATACCTTTACCCTTGTGTAGTGCCACTTCATTTAGTGATACCTTAAAGTGAGGGTTTGCTGAGCGAGACTGATGGTCAAGCTTTTAGAACAGGTTTGAAAGTGGAAGTCTGGAAGCCCTGCAAATACAAAAAGCAGCCCTACTCTACACTTGCAGGGATTTGACATTGGCACCCCTGAACCTGCAGCCTCTTTGGTTCACTACTGTTACAAACCCCCCAGGTGCTGCATCCAGGGCTGACAGACATCCTGCATTCATAGGACTTTTTGAGGTGGGAGTGGGCTTTCCCTCTGCTCAGCTTACTGCCTTTCTTTCAGCTGACAACCATCAGTACATTGTACTAATGCAAGGTGTGGTGGGTATTTAAGGTCCGTTTTCTCCTTGTCTGCTTCTTCAAGATGGACTTGGAGAGCGTTATTTTTGTTCTTTAGGTTCAGTTGGGATTACTAGTAATAATAGTCACATACAGCCATGATGAATATGAGAGATGTGAATTTCTTGCATACATGTACAGTTTAGTGAATGGTGTGTGTGTGTCTCCATCAGTCCTCTGCAGAGATTATTGGTGTTAGTTAAAAGGGATGTTAGACCCCATAAATAGGTACTTTTCCAGAGCGCCAAACTTCTCTTCCATTTTTTTTTCCTGCCGCTAGTTTAGCAAGTCTCACTTGCTGCCAGCCATGCTTTTTTCTTACTTTACTCATAACCTTTTACTAGTCACATTTACATTGTAGCCGTACTGTTTTGCATAGTTTCAAAAGAGTCAAGGTATTAAGCCCCTACTGCTATTTCTTACACTAAAATGGGCAGTCCTCTCCCCCACCCATCACCACTATGCTGTTTAGGGCCAGCAAAAAGCAGCTGTTCAGGGACCTCATCTAGCAGAAAACTGGTTTTGCTCTTTTTTTCCTCTCAGTTTTCTGCCCTACTGAACCCACCATACAGTTACAGAAATACCTGGTTTGGCTCATAAGAAGGAAGAGTAAGGACGGTGCTTGTACTTGCATAAGTGTTTTATGGACCTACAGCACAGTGGTGGTATCCGGCTGTGTACTGTCAAGAATTAAGGGATGTTGTTGGTGGTGTTTTTTTCCCCTCACTCTAAGTGGGTATTTAGAGTTCTTTTTCTTGGTTATTATTCTGAAACTTTATCATATCCTTTATTCAAGGCGTTGCTCCTTGTTCTGTTTCAGAGCTAAAGAAATTAAGAAGCTTCCTTGGATGAAAGAGTGATTGATACCAAGGACTGAAAAAAGGGGACAGATACAAGTAACAAAGTGCTGTAGCTAATTTTACAGCGTTAGAGGTTTTCTCAAGAAACAACCTTGACTACCACTTACTGTTTCATCTAGGCTTACAAGGGATGACAAAGTCTAAAACTTCATATTTAATTAATTGTTCCTTTGGATTGGATGTGTCTTTGGAACTTGTGCTTTCATGGAACAACTTGAGACGCACCCTGCTGGGCATATGCTATTTTATCATGCTACCCTGATAGGTACAGAGGCAGCTGCGCACTATTGGCTGTAGGAAACCAGATGCTGCAGGACTAGGGCTCCTGGAGATTGTAGGGAGCAGGTGTCCCAGTAGTGGTTGTATCACCCAGCCTTACTGGTGAAGTGTGGCATAAGTAGCGGCAACAGGCGAGTTGGGAGCACAACTTTTAATTTTTTATTCATGTTGGAATGTGGAAGCTGTGGTTTATCAGATTGGTCCTTTTCTTATCCTCTATTACAGACAGAGTGTCGTAATTATGTGCGTGTCTTGCAACAGCTGAACGATACTTTTCTCTATGTTTGTGGAACTAACGCGTTTCAGCCAACATGTGATTACCTGGTAAGAATGTACATATGTTTTGACCCAGTAACAACTGTAACTTAAAGCAGATCATTTAAACAACGAGTTAATCTCCATTCCCAAAGACTGTCGCAATGTCAGTGCTGGTTGTAATGTTTGCAGCATTTATTATGCTGTCCTACAGTAATGATAGTGTATGGAAATAAACTGTCCTGTTCCTGTTTCAAAGCGCTTAGTGAATTACTGTTTCATCTTGTTTAACTGTGGATTTACTTTTACTTAGCTATCGTAATTCTTTGTGTATTGTGCATTAGCATAAAAACAATTTCTGAAACTGAAATTACATTCTTTGTGACTTCCATCCATTACTGAATCTCACTGAAATTTCTCAGATTCCTGTCTTTGCCTGTCTTGTCTCTGCTCCTGGCTATGCCACAGCTTCGTAGTGCTGAATGCTTCAGAGTGAAGTCTTGGCACAAAGTCAAAATTCTCTTTTTTTGCTGCTGACTCTTGTATCGTTCTCCTTACTGCAGCTCTTAACAATTCTGAAATTGAGAAATCTTGTAATTGTTTGTTCTTTTTTGTCTCCCCTGCCTGCAAGTCTGCCTGCCATCACCTCTGGAACATTGCCAGAAGTCGTTGCCCTTAGCCTCCAATGTCTTCATTACACAGTGTAACTGATTGCTTCCCCAGTACTGTGGCTACAATTCTCCATCATCTTCCTGATCCTCATTCCCTTTGTTTTTAAGAGATTTATAAAGTAGTAGGCAAAGTACTGTCTTGCTTTTTAAAATTCAGTTGAATTATGCCCCGCCTCACAAATTTAATGTGATCTTGAAAATTGCTAAATCCACTTCAGAAAGCCTTCTTGCTTTCTAAAACTCTCCACTTTTATGCAAGCTTATTCAATAATTGCCAGCTCTG